TACAGATAAGTAGCTCAAAGGTAACTAAAGGAAGAAAAGGGTCCCAGAAACTGTAGGATCAGGAAATTCCTCTTGAAAGATATAGCACCTGACCTGATTCTTGAAAGGAAACAAATGGTCCTGAAAGATGGAAATGAGGAAGGAGTGCATTCTAGCAAGAGATGATGCCTTGTTGGAATTCATGGAGATAAGAGATAGAATAATGAGTTCAAGAAAGACTTTGACTAGGAAATAAAGTCATACATGAAAATGAAAATATGAAGTGAGGCTGGAAAAGTTATTTATTGTTCCTCCTTTATTCTTTAAATGAAGCCATGACTTCAGGAGGGTGATGTCTTGATTTGCAAGTGAATTGGATTTAAGTAAGGCAGGGCTGTACAATCATCAGCCTCACTCTTTCCTCCAGGGTCATCTGAGTTCAGTGGCAAGACATGGGTCAGGATGACTGGAGATGGTCCCTTGTGGGAGTGGGAGACCTTGGCCTTTTTAAGCTAAATTCTTTCCCAGGTCTCAGTTTGTCTGATGTAACACCCATTCATTGATTAAAGGCTAGATAAAAACTGAGGCAAAAGATGACCTAATTTGCCTTCATAATAGAATCATTCTAGGAGGGGAAGACCCTTCAAGATTCTGGCCAGAACAATACACAATTGCTGTTTACACTCCCTCTGTGTCATCAAAATCCAAGCAAAGAGCAAGTGAGGCTTGGGCAGGGACCTATTATTAGCCAACCAGTAAAAGTCAGAGCCCACTGTGATTCAAATGGAGCTATTTGACTATGGCTTGAAAAGAAGATTGAAGCCAGATTATGGAGGATCTTGAATGCCAGGATAAATAATGTATGCTTTATTTGAGAAGCTATAGGCAGAAGCACAAGGTTTTTTAACTGTTAAAGCAACACAGACATCTTCCTTAAGGAATGTTATCTTGTTATATAGCTGATCAAAAAACTAGATTTCCCTCTTTTTTTTTTGAGCTGATAGGAAATCTGTGCTCAGGATAACTCAAAGCATAACAAGAATTTTATTTATTTCTCTCATGTTTCCAAAATGCTGCAATCATTTTCCCTTATAGGTTATTCTCTGTAATAATCCATGTTTCTATAGCAATGATCTGGCGCTTTTATGTTTCTCCTCCTAATTTGATGAAATAGGCAGCAATAGATGAAGTAGTTTATTGAAGCTTGTGTACTGACACAATGACAGTTTTACAATTAAACCTCAAAACCCCTAAATTCCTAGTCTTCAGGGACAATGCTGCTGTTCTAATTTGGGGAGACAGTTCACTTATTCTTAGAATTCCAAGGGGCCTTAAAAGATCATCATTTGGAATCTTGCCTTTCAGTAATGCTGTAAACATAATTATTCTCTTGGAAATTTCCTTTAAAGAAAGTGAATGAATCTTTGGGTTTATTTCACTGTGAAGTAGTCCTACTTGGATAGATTCAAAAGATTTAAATTTTAATATTAGGGTAAAAAAAGTTATTCTTGTTCTTTTTGTTATCTGGCACAGAAGGCTTGTTTGCATGGAAGAATACATTTGATTTTGTTGCTTTCTCTAAGTCCCTGGGTATGAGGGCACAAAGAAAACCCAATGACTATGATAATATTAAAAATGATAGATAAAATTTATTCAGTACTTTAATGTTTGCAAAAACAGTTTACAAATATTAGACAATTATGGGATATAGGTAATCCAGGTATCATTGTTCTCATTTTTCGAATAAGTCTCTTGTTAAATTACTTGCCAGTAGACAAACAGTTAATGTTACAGGCTTGTCTTGGCCACAGGGCTTCTTAACTTCTGAGTCCAGAATTCTATGCCCTATGTCATACTATCCCTCTAGCAAAGTTGATGTGAATATAATCTTTCAAAACAGTTTTCTGCAAGGTGACTCCTATATTATCTTTATGTGCCTATAGATGATATAGGGATTGCTTAGCATGGAGAATTTCCTCCTCTGACATCTAGCTATGCAAACCTGAAAGAGACATATGAGGACATCTTTTTCAAGAGTGTTCATGTCATTCAGTCCTGTAATCCTAGATTCTTCTACATTTGTTTGAGGGAAGTTTTGAACTTGGCATCTCAAATAATTTATTGCATGGAAATTATAACTCTTCCCTCAGTGACTATGTGCACCAGACATAACAGCTTTCATTGGAGAAACATTTGAAACATTGGAGAGGACAAAGAATACTCAAACCCATGATTTGTGGAACAGTTTTGGACAGTACACCCCCTCCCTCCAATACCTGTCTCAATCCTATTGAACCAGCTCCAAAGACATTATAGTAATCACCTACTTTCCCTACTCAACAGGATGTTCATAAGAATGTATTAAGTGGGAACATTTCTTTTATAGGAAAACAAAGCTATCTGTGCAAGTCTTCGTGAACCTTGAAAGTCACAAACCTTTTAACTATTAAAGACTTGATATTTCCTTTTGGTGCTAAGAGACCCTAAATAGGACAGTCTCACATTGTTACTGCTTTGTTTATCATCTATCACCATCCTTTCCTTTCTGGATAAATAGCAAAGTTGTACTAAATGCAGACTAAACTACGATCCTTTCCCTTTGCTCTTATTCTTGTTGAACCAAATGGGTCTATATGGCTCTCTTGGGAAAACAAAACAAAACGAACAAACAAACAAACAAAAAACTTCTTTGATAAAATCCACAAGCAATAGCTTAATTTTTAAAGGGAAGTATTCCCCTGGGAATTTATAAGAAGACATGGAAATATCCTCACCAGTCCACTATCGAAACTTAATTCATCTTGTAATAACCCAAAACTACTTATTTGTATAGGTATTTGACAGAAGTAGAATGGAGTTGCCATCAGAAATCACCACCCCTAATGACACCTCTGTGGATTATTGATTATTGTAAAATGGTAGGGAAAGGTTAATAAGCACTTCTTTCTGAGACAGATTCATCACCAAGTCAATTATCTAAAGGAACTTTCCTAAGTATTTTCTCAGAATATAATATATTATCTTTTCTTCCCTATTTCTGGTGAACTAAAAACCATTTGGTTTAAACTCTGGCTGGGGATGAATGTAGAGCTTGAGTGAAGCATGGAAGAACATAGCCCTCTAGCCGTATCTCTCCTTCCCCACTGCCCCCACACCATCCTCCTTCCTGCAAGTCAGGTAGCAGTAACTGAAGGCATTTCTAGAAATAAACAAACCCTGGAAACGAAAGGCTCATCCTTGAAAGAAAGAATGTTATGAGAGTGACTGGTGGCTCCAAGTCTAGAAAGCACTGCTATGCCTTCATTTAGGCTGCTAAACTATCAGTAGTAAGTTTGGGAAAAGCTTCATTGGTTCACAATTAGGAGTTGGAAGGTGTTGTAGATATCGTCTACTACAACCTTTTGTTTTATAAATGATGAACTGAACCCTGAAGAAGTCAAATGTCTTGGCCTATGGCCTCCCAGGTCCTCTATTGGCCACACTCAGTGTTAATCATTAGAATATATTAATGCTATAAGTCATGGAATCTCTTTTTTCTCATATACTTAAAAATAGAAGTTCATCAGTTTTAGATAGTTTAACTCTATTCCCTCCCAAAGGTGGGAGGATGGAGGGATTCCAGATGACTTCTTTGGATGAAAACCCTCTCAATATTCTCTGATTTAAATTGTGTTGTTGTTTAAGATATAAATATGAGTGACGCCTCATATTAAAATATTTCTCACCCATGTGTTGTTTGAGTTATGTCAAATAAACCTTCTTGACTTACAAAAAGAACAATTTTGATAGTACATTGTTAAATCTAATAAATATTTTTAAAAATGAAACAACTATCCGTAATTGAAAATTAATGGTTACATATACAATTCTTTTTTTTTTTCTTATATGATTTTTTTTTCTTTTAGTGATTAAGGTCATAATACAAAAGAAATGTTTAAATGTACTTTCTCTGAAGTTTTGAATAAAATCACAAAGTCCAAAAAGAAAAGTGTGTGAAAGAAAATGCTACTGAGTAAGTGTGATTTCCCATGGATAGATGTTTGCTGCCTCAGTTGGAGAGGAAAAAAAGGAGCTAAGCCCTTTTGTTGAAAATGGTTTCTAAAGCAAAGACAAATCTTGTAGGCTCAATTCTTTATAAGTAGGAAAAGAAGAAAGCTAATGTTATGTCTGTCAGCAGATGTCTCCCACTTGAAGGAGAGTATTGTTAAATCAGGAAAGTTAACAATATCTTCAAAGGTCATCAGGGGAGTATAAGACTGTGGGACATGTTCTCATAGACCATTTTAGTGACCTCCTTTAGAGCTTTGGTTCTGAAAAGTCAGCGGCTTAGGACTATGTCCAGCACGTCTCAATGTCAGTTCTTTCTGTCATGGGGAAATCAGAAGAAGTGATTAATAATTAGGTTCCATTCCCCTGTTGTATTAGAATTCAAGTGAGGTGTCCAGGAACTTAAAAGAATGAACTTTTGAAGATGGGAACTGGTAAAAGAAAGTTTATATAAAAGGAAGAATAAAATAGGGATTATCATCAGAGCATAGATTTAGAGCTAGAAGGAACCTTAGAGGATACTGTGTATAATGCTTTCATTTTACAAATGAGGAAACTGAGGCACAGAGAGGTAAGAAGAATTGGCCAGGAACAGACATATAATAAGACTCTTCACCATTTGAATGCAGGTCCTTCTAACTCTAATCCACTAGATTATAAACTCTTTGAGGGCAGCAAATGCATTTTGCCTCCTTTTATATCCCCAGTGCTTAGCACATAGTGGGTGCTTAATAAGTATTTTATTATTTATTTATTATTTTTTTTTATACTTTTTTATTTATCTAAGCCCAGCATAAAGATTGTGTGAGTGTGTGAGTGTGTGTGTGTGTGTGTGTGTGTGTGTGTGTGTGGTTTAGCTAAAGATAACATTTGATAATAAGCATTTATCCAATAAAGGTTTTTTTTTTTTTTCGTTCCCAGGTTCACATAAATCTTGGCTGACATTTGAAACATTTCTTCCATTTCTTTCACAGGCTCATCTAGTAGCAGCTTTTGAAAAAAGCTTAGGGAATATGACTGGCCGTCTACAAAGCTTAACCATGACAGCAGAACAAAAGGTATGCTTATAGCAATTGATTCTAGGACGCAGAAAGATTTGGCAAATTGTATCAGGTGTATGACTGCTTAAATAATAGAGGATGTATCTTCCTTTTAGAGACTTTGACACTCAGTCTTAATAAAGGTCTGGCTGTTAGTAGTCCAGAGTTTCCAGTTTGCACTGTCACGAAGAAGTTGACAGATAAAAATCTTTCATTTATAGATTTTAATTAAAAGAACTCTCACTTTCAACTTAACCCAAATTGAAGAATCAATGTCAAAAATTTCTTAAGTCCTCTCAGAGTATTTCACTACTGTCTGGAGCCTTTCTCAGAAGACTAAATGCTAAGGAAAAGAAAAAGTGTTATCAGAAAGAAAATACAATTTTTAGGAATTTTATATAGCTGGAAGGGCAGGTAGATGGCACAATGAATAAAGTGCCAGGCCTAGAGTCAGGAAGATTCATCTTCCTAATTTCAAATCTGGCCTCAGGCATTTACTAGTTGTGTGACCCTGGACAAGTCACTTAACTCTGTTTGCCTTAGTTTCTTCATCTACAAAATGAGCTGTAGAAGGAAAGGGCAACCACTCCAGTATCTTTGCCAAGAAAATCCCAAAAGGGGTCATGTAAAGTTGGAAATGGCTGAAAAAAAATTTACAGAACAGTAACAAAACATACCTGGAAGGAGTTCCATCTAGACAGGACATTATAAAAATAGTAAAAGATTTGTAGTAAGTTCTCAATTATAGAAAGGGAAGAAATAAGCATTTATTATATACCTACTATGTATCAGATACTATGCTAAGCATTTTACACAAATTATCTCATTTGACCTTTACAACAATCCTGGGAAGTAAAGTTATTAATTACCCTCTTTTTGCAGTTGAGGGAACTGTGGCAAAGAGATTAAGTGACTTTTTTTTTTGGTCACAGAGCTAGTAAATGTCTGAGGCTTTATTTGAATTTGGGTCTTCCTGACTCCATTCCTAACACTCTGTCTACTGTGCCAACTGGCTGCCTCTCTAGCAATTATAGATAGTAAAATATTATGGACTCATTTCCTAAACAGAATTCAATTCCATTTGGACAATCATTTATACTAATATACACATACACCTACCAAGCATCACACACTTTGATGGTTACTTGGGATACAGAGGTAAAAATGAAAGGAACTCACATTCTACTGGAGAAAAACAACACATATTCAGATAAGTAAATACAAAATTTATTCCAAGTAAATAAAGAGGGGAGATGGTAACAACTGGGATGGTTAAGGCGGGTCTCATATAGGTGACGGCTACCAAGTTGAGCCTTGAAGGGAGCCAGGGATTTCAGGCAATGAAGTTGAGGAGAGAGAGTGTTCCAGGTATGAAGGAAAACTTGTGTAAAGACACAGAGAAGGAGGATAGGGTGATCTATTTGGGTAATAGCACGGAGACCACTTTGTCTGGAACATAGGTAACATGAAGGAGGTAACTGGTTGTCCTCTAAGTACCAAAGTATTGTGTAAGGTACGAGGAAAAGCCCAGAGATTAACTAACTTGGTCAATTTTCCAAATTATCTTTTAGTCTAGCATAGGATAAGATACTAACAAAAGTAATTAGAATAAAATTAAATGAGGGAGAAAGGTCATTACTGAAAGAAGGTGATCAGGAAGCATTGGTATTTGAATTGTGGTCCACTTGATGGGTAGAAATTTAACAAGCAATGGCAATGGTGAAGGCAGGCAGATGTCTGAATATGGAGGTAATGGATACTAGACAAAGTAATTTGAACTTGGTAAGTAGTAGGCAAGCACTGATTTTTTTTTTGTAAATAGTATTTTATTTTTTTCCAGTTACATATATAAATAATTTCCAATATTCATTTCTATAAGATTTTGAGTTCCAAATTTTTCTGTTTCTCCTTTCCTTCTACCTTCCCTAAGATAGCAAGCAATCTGATATAGATTATACATATGCAGTTATGAAAACGTATTTCCACATTAATCATGTTGTTAAATAAGAAACAGAACAAAAGTGAAATACAACAGATGACAAAAAAAATGAAAATAATACTTCAATCTGCATTGAGATTCCATATTTTTTTTCTCTGGACGTGGATAGTATTTTCCTTCATGTGCCTTTTGGAATTGTCTTGAATCATTGTATTGCTGAGAAGAACTAAATCAATCATAGTTGATCATTGCACAGTATTACTATTATTGTGTACAATATTCTTCTGGTTCTGCTCATTTCACTCAGTATCAGTTTGTATAAGTCTTTCCAGGTTTTTCTGAAATCCATCTACTTATCATTTCTTATAGCACAATTGTATTCCATTATATTCATATACCTCAACTTACTCAGCCATTCTGCAATTGATGGGCATTCCCTCAATTTCCAATTCTTTGGCACCATTAAAAAAAGCTACTATACATATTTTTGTATATGTAGAGCTTTCCCTCCTTTTTTATGATCTCTTTGGAATACAGACCTAGCAGTGGTATTGCTGGATCAAAGGATATGTACAGTTTTATAGCCTTTTCAGTATAGTTCCAAATTGCTCTCCAGAATGATTGGATCAGTTAACAACTCCATCAACAAGGTATTGGCATCCAATTTTCCCACATCTTCTCCAGCATTTATCATTTTCCTGTTTTGTCATGTTAGCCAATCTGATAGATGTGAGGTGGTACCTCAGAATTGTTTTAATTTGCATTTTTCTAATCAATAGTGATTTGGAGTATTTTTCATTATGACTTTGGCTTTAGCAGTTTTAATTTCTTCATCAGAAAATTGCCTAATGTCTAAACCATTTAACTGTTTTGACTTTATCTTGATATGTGGTGTGAGATATTGATTTATGCCCAGTTTCTGCCATACTATTTTCCAGTTTTCCTAGCAGTTTTTGGTCAAATAGTGAGTTCTTATCCAAGAAGCTGGAGGTTTTGGGTTTATCAAACAGTAGATTACTACATTTATTTACTACTGTGTCTTATGTAACTAATCTATTCCACTGACCCATCACACTATTTATTAGCTAGTAACAAATAGTTTTGATGATTGCTGCTATAAATATAGTTTTAGATCTTTTGCCTTTTTTTTCATTAATTCCTTTGACATTCTTAACCTTTTGTTCCTTCAAATGAATTTTGTTATTATTTTTTCTAGCTCTATAAAATAATTTTTGGCAGTTTGATTGGTATGGCACTGGATAAGTAAATTAATTTAGGTAGAATTGTCATGTTAATTATATTAGTTCAGCCTACCGATGAACAATTGGTATTTTTTAATTGATTAGATCTGACTTTATTTGTATGGAAAGTGGTTTGTAATTGTGTTCATATAGTTCCTGTGTTTGTCTTGGCAAGTAGAGTGCCACATATTTTATATTGTCTACAGTTATCTTAAATGAAATTCATCTTTCTATCTCTTGCTGCTAAGCTTTGTTGGTAATATATGGAAATGCTGATGATTTATGTGGATTTTTTTAATATCCTGTGACTTTGTTAAAGTTGTTAATTATTTCAAGAAGCTTTTGAGTTGATTTTCTAGGATTCTCTAAGTATACCATCATATTATCTGCAAAGAATGATAGCTTTGTTTCCTTGTTGCACATTCTAATTCCTTCAATTTCTTTTTCTTCTCTATTGCTAAAGTTAAAATTTCTAGTACAATATTGAATAATAGTGGTGATAATGGACATCTTTGTTTCACCCCTGATCTTATTGGGAAGGCCTCTAGCTTATCTCTGTTGCAGATAATGCTTGCTGATGATTTTATATAGATCCTAATTAACATTTTAAGGAAAATTCCATTTATTCCTCTGTTCTCTAGAGTTTTTGATAGGAATGGGTGCTGTATTTTGTCAAAAGGTTTTTCTACATCTATTGAGATAATCATATAATTTCTGTTGGTTTTGTTATTGATATGGTCAATTATGCTAATAGTTTTCCTAATATTGAACCAGTCCTGCATTCCTGATATAAATTCCACCAGATCATAGTGTATTATCCTGGTGATAAATTGCTGAAATACCTTTGCTAATAGTTTATTTAAAATGTTTGTATCAATGTTCATTAAGGAAATTGGGCTAATTTTCTTTTTTTCTGTTTTGGCTCTTCCTGGTTTAGGTATCAGCATTGTATTTTATTGTAAAAAGAATTTGGTAGACTCCACCTCTTTTTCCAAATAGTTTATGTAGTATTGGAATTAATTGCTCTTTAAATGTTTGGTAGAATTCACTTTTAAATCTATCTGATCCTGGAGATTTTTTCCTTAGGGAGTTCCCTAAGAAATTGTTCAATTTCTTTTACTAAAATGGAGTTATTTAAGTATTTTATTTCTTTTTTCTGTTAATCTGGAAAATTTATATTTTATAAATATTTATCCATTTCACATAGATTGTCTGGTTTGTTGGAAACCGTTAAAATAGTTCCTAATTATTGCTTTGATTTCCTCTTCATTGGTGGTGAATTCACCCTTTTCATTTTTGTTACTGGTAATATGGTTTTCTCCTTTCTTTCTTTCTTTTTTTTTAGTCAGATTAACCAAAGGTTTATCTATTTTATTTTTCCCATAAAACCAACTCTTAATTTTATCTATTAATTCAATAGTTTCCTTACTTTCAATTTTATTTACCTCTCCTTTGAGTTTCAGAATTTTTAATTTGGTATTTAATTGGGGATTTTTAAGTTGTTTTCTTTTTTTTAGTTTTTTTTTAATTGCTTGCCCAATTCATTGATCTTCTCTTTCTCTGTTTTATTCATGTAAGAATTTAGCTTGAATAAAATTTCCCCTAAATACTGCTTTGACTGCAACCCATAAGTTTTGGTATGTTGTCTTATTATTGTCATTCTCTTTGATGAAATTATTGATTATTTCTATGATTTGTTGTTTGACCCACTCATTCTTTAGGGTTAGATTATTTAGTTTTCAATTAATTTTCAGTCTATTTTTCCATGGTCATTTATTACATGTAATTTTTATTGCATCATGATCTGAAAAGGATACATTTAATAATTCTGCCTTTCT